CATGGGTAGTTATATGTGGGGTTATGGGGTTCCTTTAAGGGTTCCTTTAAAGGGTTCTATAGGGTTTAGGGTTTAGGGTTTAGGGGTAGTTATAAGTAGGGTTATAAGTTCCCTAATGTGGGTTATAACTATAGTTACCCTACTTATAACCCCACTTATAACCACCCTTGAACCTCCAAGTACACTAACAGCACTGGTAAGCGTCTCGGCAAAAGTATTCATCATAAGACGAGCACAAAGATGCGAGGAAACTTGCAGCTTGAGCAAAGAAAGTAGGGGTGTGGGACTGGAGTTGCAGTCCTGAAGAGACCGCGTATACAAAGCGAGGTGTGCGGGGCGTGGCGGGGTGGCGGGGGCGTTCCAAGCACGAGGAGTCCCGGCACCTTGCGCAGCTGCAGGTAGAAGAACTCGCATCTGGCTTCGAGGTCTTCGGACGAGGGCTTCCTTCCCGCAAAGGCCGTTCAGCAAGCCCCGAGCTCGCTGCATTTGAGTAAACGAGGAAGCCCCGGAGATGCTACCGTCGCTAGCCTTAAAGTCCCGGAGACAAGCCCACGAGCTAGAACCTGTTCAGAAAGCGACAGTCGAAGAAATAATTCAGGGCACTCCGGCTGCGGAACAGCCAACTCAAGAATATTGATACGCACAACAAAGGAAACTTAGAGGAAAGGACCCTTCCCTTCAAGGCAACATGCTGAAGAATCTGTTTGCCAAACTCTACGTCCTGTCAGTTTTGATTTGGCCTTCGGATTCTAGATTTTTGGACAGCGGTTGGCAAGTGAGTTGAGGCATTGGCAGATGTGGCTCGACATGGCTGGACTAAGGACGTGGCTATAGCACTGACTCGACCTCTAAGGAATCCCAGAGCCCTGGAACTGAGCTGACAAAATAAAACGAGCGTTTCTGCAACAGCTGGTGACGACTTTGCTCTTATCTGCAACCGGGCAACTTTGCCGGCATTCCCCCATCTGCCAGCAGTGGCACGGCCAGAAGTACCAAGCCACTCCAACAAGGAGGCATGAGCTCCATTTTCCCAACACCTCAAAAACACAAAAAAGGAAAGAAGCGCACGACAGCCAAAAGATGTAAGAGCCGGACCTGATTGCCATGGACGGCCGGCAGCCATTTGACGAAGCTCCCCCTTACGACAGCTCCCGCTGCTTCCGATTTTGCAGTCTTCGATACACAACAGATGAAGGCAGGTGGCCCATAGCTCCTCTCGCACTGGCACATCAATCTCGGGGCACCCCCAGCACTCCAAGCGCTGATACCAAAGGTGAAAGAACTGCTTCCACGTTGGATCAGCGTAGCCTGAGCTGCAGTGCAAGCTGACACTTGTGGCAACTGTTCGGGCGAGATGAATGCGGGATCAGGTCGAACCCTCAGACTGATGGGTATCATCTCAACTTGCCTGCGGTCCAATCTAGAATCTGCTAGGACAGGCAAGTGCTAGCGCAGCTAAAAATGCCGTGCGGCAAGCTCTGGGGTAGACCCGCGCAGGGACCCAGTGGAAGTCGTCCAGTGGGGCAATCATCTCGCGGAAAAAGATGATGCCATGACCGGAGAAGATGCGAGCATGCTGGGCCACCCTTAGCGGAGCGCAGCAAGGCTCTCTGGAACCCGGAATCCTGGCAGCCCGTGTCCAAGACCCGTGTCAAGGCGCTGGCAACTTTGTCTCCAAGCCGAAGTCCCCACCGTAGATAAGGGCCACGCGCTGGCAGCAAGGCGACATTACGAAGACTCGAATGACTCTGGTCGGAGGTCATGACAACTCCTCATTGCACCCATTTGGCATGATTGTGCTTCAAGGCATCCCTAAACCCTAAAAAACCGTGGCTCAAGGTATCCCTAAGCCCTAAACCGTGGCTCAAGGTATCCCTAAACCCTAAAAAACCGGGGCTCTACCCGCATCTCAGGGCACCTCGTAAGGGTAGCCGGCAGCCTGCACCTCGTTGAAGAAAGGCAGAGGATCGCAGGCCTGGTTGGGGCCAACCTCACAGGGCAGACCGGTACCTAAATGATTTGATACAACCTATCATAACAAAGTGTGTATATTAATAGAATATAAGGTACTGTAATATAATTGATACAACCTATCATAAAAAACTGTGTGTATATAAATAAAATATAAGGTACTCTAATATAATACTGCAGTTTCATAGTGAAGCACCCATCATTCCATCGCGGTCAGCAGAATCAGAAAGGGTTGTTGTTCTGTTAAGCCTTCGGCAATCGATACATCTCTACAGTGGGCCTAGTCTATCAAATATGAACTCTTGTTGTTCAGGTTCTGTCACACTTGCATTGCATTCTGTCGCATATCTACATGGTGTCTCGAAGCTGACAAAGGCACTCAACGAGGGGTCCCAAGCGTTTCTAACAAGCTTCGGCTGTAGCCTTCGGCCCTCTCCTACTTCTTTTCTGCTACGACAGCTTGAGGCCTTCCCGTAGATGATGCCATCGAATTCGCGACCTGCAGAATGAGTACTATGGTGAGTGTTCCCACCGTTCTTATTCTTCTCCTCCAGCTTTGTAGCTACTAATGATGTTGCTACAAGGTTAGTTAGTTTCATTTATTGCCGCTGTTGGGAGTCAATTTTTGGGAGCTGTTGGAGATGGCTGAGTCGCGAACGGAAAAGGCTCTGCGTCACCAAGTCCCGCTCTGCACGAACGGCGAGCGCCTGCGACACCAGACCACATTGCGCAATAGAGTTAAGCTCATCAAATCAGTAGTAGTAGTAGTAGTAGTAGTAGTAGTAGCAGCAGCAGCAGTAGCAGTAGCAGCAGTAGCAGTAGTAGCAAAAGTAGCAGGAGTAGCTGGAGTAGCTGGAGTAGCTGGAGTAGCTGGAGTAGCAGGAGTAGCAGGAGTAGCAGGAGTAGTAGTAGTAGTAGTAGTAGTAGTAGTAGCAGTAGTAGTAGTAGTAGTAGTAGTAAATGTGATAATCGAAACAACACAATCAAAACAATCACACTACCAGCAATTCCAAGAACGAGCTTACTATCCGAAGCCACTCGTCTAAATAAACACACAGCTGGCCTCGGGAAGCACCCTTCGGGCGTAGGAGAACCCAAAGCCATACATCCTGCTCGCAGCGCAGGGAGCGGAGGCAGGTGAGCATCATACTGTATTACATGATAATACATAGTGTTACGTTGCATTGCATTGCATTGCCTTGCATTACATTACATCACATTACATTACATTACGCTACCTGGTTCTACCACATTTTACACCACTTTGCATGATGTTACACTGTGGTACATTATACTGCCTTATATTACATTGTACTACGTTGTATTACACTAATGTACATTACATACGATATGATGGTATGTTAAGTTGAGCTATGCTGCTTTATGAACTGCTCTATGATATTTTGCTACATCATACTGTATCTTTTAAACTATGAAAGAGGAACCAATCTGCTGAGCCCCAATCGGCTGTTCACATCACATTGAAAGTCGAGGAGTCGACAAAAAAATACTATACATATGACGAAGCCGACGAAGGTAGCGGTGATTGCCATGACAACGATGACTATTACAGCATCCAACACTTTTCCACAGCATGCAACTGATCTTACCATATCAGCAGCAGCATCATCAACATGGTTCGCCATCATGACAACCATCATCAGAGTCATCATCATTCTCATAGTGCTTGCCCACCTCCGGATTCGTGCCTTTGTCATCCTCCTGTTCATCGTCATCCGCTAACATCCCAAAACGCTCAACCCTAAACTCGTCATCGTAGCTCAGGCCTCAAGCGGAGCGCTTCCTCCTGCTTCCGAGCGAGGCGCTCGTCAGCGAGGTACCAAAAGCTTGACCTCGGATTTGTACATGGGCAGGTATGTTTTGGATGAATGTACACATATGTGTTTGTATATATGTATATATACATATGCATTGTTTAGCATTCACATGAATGCGTTCCTTTTCTCTATATATGTATAAGCAGTTAAATACACAAGTTTTTCTGCATAAATGCATATATCACACACACATGTATGTCTGCATATGTATATATATGTATATATAGATGGTGCTTATGAAGACTGACTATATGTGGTGTATATGCATGTATAGTAGGTGTAAACATATTCATATTTAGATGTGTATACATATATGTTCATGTACATACACATGTGCATACATGTCCTGCGTATGAGCCTGTGTGTGCGTGAGTCTATATATATGTGTAAACATATACATATATATGTATATGAACCTATGCGTATATATATATATATACATATGTAAATATAAAGAGAAAGTACATACGCATATACATACAAACATACATACCTATTTGTATATATATATATATATGTAAACAGCGCATGTATATTTTGAGAGAGAGAGGCATTTATATACATAGATACATATATAGTATGTAACAGTGTGTATATTTTGTACCTAATTTATGTGTACGAATATGTGCGTAAATGTCTATATATAGTGTATACGAAGATATGTATGTATATATACATATGTAAACACACATATGTGTACTGGTACCTATACAGGGTGCATGTGTATACAGCACAGACATAAATATGTAATGTACATATTGTGTATGTATATATTTATACATGCACACAGTGCGCAAAAGTCCAAACATAATGCGTGCGTAGATACATGTATACAGACAGAGAGAGTGTGTGTATACATATATACATACTGTATGCAGATGTGTGCAAATATGTGCGTGTATTTATATATATATATATTGTGTGAAGGTATAACTCATAAGACAAATGTGCAGAAAAAAACACATCGAGAGCGACAGACTGTGCAAAATATACACATATGCATGTTACACATAGTCATCTACAGCTAAACAGTCCGAGCACATATAGTGTGTATATTATATATGTATACACATACAGTGTAGCCATTATGTGCGTGCTTGAACCTCTGCAGGAGCATATGATACATACACATATGCATCTATCTAAAAATATACAACACTTACACAGATATAGATATAGAGATAAATACAGGTGTGAATATGGACATAAGTACAGGCATAGATATAACAGATACAGATATAGTTATAGAGACCGATGTACATAGAGATTTAGATGCAGGTTTAGATATAAGTGTAGAGACTGATGAAGATATAGACATAGAATATAGATAGGGTTCACATCCGTACGGGTTGGGGGCTCATACAGTGCAAAGTGAAGGAACTCATGTCGTAGGGTTGACACAGCCACGAAAGCGACAGTTTTCAGGGCTTACGCGGTTCAAAAGGCCCAGGCCTAGACGGCCTAGACTACACTAACGTGGGCGCTGGTTTAGGGCTCACGAAGGCAGGACATGTTCGCATCTTGTAGTGTTCTATCACGTGTTGATGCACTGTTCGCGCAAAAGTGGTTTCCTTTCGCGCCTGCTTCAGCGGCTCTTCCACGAACACTTTAAGCCTGTCACATGCCGCATTTTGTATAGACCTTTAGAACAACCCTCAGATCGAGATTCTACACACTGTATATATAGATATTGTGTATATACACATACAGTGGATGTATATAAAGCCTGAAATCGCAGACGACAAACCGGCTCGGAGGACTCGCACGTCCTGGTTTTTCATCAGATGGCCGCCAACTTTCAGCTTTGGTCGGCCCAGGAGTCAACATCGTCGTGTTGCTTCGAGGCTGCGTGTTCGAAGTGCCCCGGACAGCGCGATGCGTAATCACATCACAGTGCTTGCTCCTGTGCGCTCTCCGTCTTCTGCAAAAGCCGCGATGCCAGGTACTGTACTCGCTGACGCAGAGAGAAAAAGAGGCACCAACGTTGCTCAGGATCCGCTGTGGCCAGAATGTGGAACAGAACTAGATACTCTCCAAACACTTGCCCAACTTCGATATATCGATCGCAAGAGATGCCCTTGGTCCAGTTCCAGAGCCGAGGCGCCGCGGTTCGCTGTCCCCGCGCCAAAAGTTTGGATTCAGCTCCATGGCCTTGTGGAGGCGCAAGGCATAAGGGTTCAGGCCTAGAAGTCGGGCCTTGAATTCGGGTTAAACCGGGGCTTCAAAGCTTCGACCAAGACAACCACGACGATGCCTCCTGCTGAATTCCTACCACGACCACCAATGCCGCCATTGGGCCATCACTACCACGACCACGACGGCCCACGACCATGAGGACTACGACGACCGTGACGACAGTGAGGAGGATACTGTCTGCCACTACTACTGCTGCCGCTTGGGCTTCACTGACGCTACTACTACTACTACTACTACTACTACTACTAGTACTACTACTAGTAGTACTACTAGTAGTACTACTAGTACTACTACTAGTACTACTACTAGTGCTACTACTAGTACTACTACTGCTACTACTACTCCTGCTGTTGCTGCTGCTGCTACTGCTACTACTAGTTCTACTACTACTACTACTACTACTACTACTACTGCTACTGCTACTGCTACTGCTACTGCTACGACGCTGCTACTGCAGCTGCTACTGCTACTGCTCCTGCTCTGCTGACTGCCACAGTACTGCCTCCTCCTGCACCTCCTCCTCCTCCTCTACTCTGCGACGACTGCTTCTACCATCACCAAAGCTGCTACAACGACTCGACTAGTACGACTGCTATTGCTAAAACTTCGGTGACTCCAATACTACTACGACGACGACTACTATTTCTTTTGGTAATGAGAACAATCATAATATACTACTTATACTAATAACACACCGACACTAGTACTAACAATACGAATATCTGTGTTTTTACATATTGTATAAATATACATGCACACACACACACACATATATATATATATATATACACATCTTTATGCATAATGCATATGAGGCAAAATACGCCTCTAGAGAGGCTCCGTGAGGGCACCTTCAAGGGAGGCCGGAACAAACAGGCAGACAGTCGGGCATAGAGTAGTTGGAGGTGACAAACGGTCGGTCACCTTAAGTATGCAAATCTGTGGGGCTCTTTGTCTCGCAGCGTTTAGCTTTTTCGGGGGGGTCTACGATGCCGGGTATGGGGTCAACCAGCCTGACAGTTAGACAGCCCGACAGCCGGAGGGCAGACAGTAAACAAACAAACGGTCAGGCACCCAGGGAAATGCAGAGCAGACAGCCAAGTGAAGACAACCGCACGGAAACGCCCCCACCTACACCCTCAACCGAATCATAGCTCCGTTACTACTGCTCCTACGACTGCTGCTGCAACAACAACAACAACAAGGCTCCAGCATGCACATGCCGATTGCATCGGGTTTTTACAGCATTTCATACACTTGGCCGAAAACCTCGGTAGCATCGGTATTTTCTGCATCTAAATTTGAACGTGTTCGCAACTGCATCGGTATTTACGCGGCTTTCCGTGCCTTCCATGTTTCAAAGGACACAAGAGGCAACAGGGACAGGTCTGTATAACCATATTCTTGAACATGTGCTAAATTACAGCACATCGCGTTACACAGGAATTTGTGTTTGGTTGGGTTTTCGCTTTTTGTACACACTGTACACACGTTTCCAGGCATGTATATTCTACAAGAATGCGGGCTTTGAGTGCTTCGGACATCTGCTTTGAATGCTTCAGGCATTATTCGTTTACTTTTAGGGACTCGGGAATTCTTGGATTGGGGTAGGCTTAAAAACGGGTGCAACATAGGGCCCTGACCTGTTAGAATAGGGCTCGTGCTTCCATGTTGTTGACGGTTTTACCATACTCACAATAGGGAACCTCAGGAATAGCCTCAGCAAAGAGTCCAAACTTCATAAAACGTTTATTCCGGTAGTAATTGATCTTGATCATAAAACCCGCGGGCTTGACGACAACAGCAGAGTACAGTAGAACCAACCCCTATAGTGTCTCCAACATGAGGAAAAGGTGCAACATGGTAATGCAAATGTATATAATGTATGTGGATCCGAAGGCATGCGAAGGCAAGGAAGCACAGCAGAGAAAGATCAGGTCTTTCCTGGCCATGGGTTCCCCCTTTCCCACATCGCAATGGACCTCGTGCATTAATAAGTTTTGGCTATGGATTCGCTCTTTTCCAACTCGCACTCTTGTAAAAAAGCTACCCAGCAGAGGAAACACCGACAATTTCGATCTGTTTACCACGCGCAGGCAAGAAAACATTGCAAATACCGAGGTTTCCGAGACTCGGAGATACAAAACGATGACTTGCAGACACGCGAAACGCAGACCGCACCGATGCGAAACGCACCTCGAGTGTAGGAAACGCTGCATGTCGGTTTTGTGCGCTTACGTCATGTCGGAGCCAACAATAACAACACTGACTACTTCCACGTCGGCGGCGACCGCGACGACGACCCGCCGACGACCACCATGACTGCTACCACCGTCGACATCACAACCAGCACCACAATGGACGACACAGTACAATTAGCAAAAGCGCCCAGGGCATATCCGGACGAAGTCCAGTTGTGTTTTTATGCATTGCCATGCCGTGGAGTGCACAAGGTTGCACAGGCCTGTTGGTTGATGGTTGGACTTCATGCGGTGATAGGAAACACGAGGTAGAGGGCTAGACGCATCCGTTCCCGAGCCTGCAAAAGGTGGAGGTTCTTCGGGTTTCACACGTGGTCTGATCTCTTCTTGCTATACCACACCAGCGTGCACTATAACGCAAGCAACTTGGGCCAAGCGACATCTCCAAAAGCGGCCCTGCACATATACATGCAGTTGAGAAGCATGTGATGCCATAGTACGGGCAAGCATCAGCAAAAAGCCTTGCATTGACAGGGGGTGACGGGGTGGCTTTCAAGGAGCTTGAGACGTAAGGCCACCCAAGTCTCCCTGCACAGCCTGAGCCCTCAGTCCTGGAAGCTGCTAGCAAGGGGCGCGTGAGTGTCAGGCGCCAGGACATAGTGGATGCTGATGATTTTCCCCGGGACACCATCCTGAGGTTAAAGTAGGCAAACGAGACGTCCACTTCCACACCAGGCAGAGCTGGCTCCGCAAAGCACAAAACCAGACGTTCATGGTTCGCGGATCTTACACTACCTGTTCGGTCAACTTGCCCACCCAAAGTGCAAACGGTGCCCACTGCTGTGCAAGACCTTGAACTACCGAATCTGGTGCACACATGCAATAGCCGGAGTCGATGTACTCTGGTGCAAACCTTAGACTTCCACTTGGTTTTGGGGGTGCATGCGTGAAGGTGTTCCCAAGTCAAGAAGCGTACAGGCCGGACACGGCAAAGAAAATGCCGCCGAAGCAGATTATCCTCGGTGAACTTCGTGCGAAACGTCATGGATACGGGACTGAGTTGTGGAATCGAGTAGAACCGAGTCGGAAATGTGGGAAGGGGTCCAACTGCCTCTTGATGTCATGGCAGCGATGTTAAAGCTTGTACCAGGCCATGACATCGGCACTTGATGCAGACACGGCCGTTCTGCAATGGGACCGCAAAGCTCACTAAAGAAGCGCAACGGTGACTGACTCCTTTGCTCTCTTCCGTGCCCTTGCGACATGGCCGTATCGTAGCCTGCGCTGGATTTTGGTCAAGATTCGTCTGACCAACAGCCACTGCGGCATTGTTCACAATCATGTTGATCTGTGTCAGTCTCGGCTTATCCGCCGTGATACATGTTTTAAACAACACTTTCACAGGGATTAAGCTCACGGCTCACGGTGGGAGATGGTTGTTTGACTCATCGAAGCAGATGGTAAAACTGCTACCTCCATGCTGATCTGCATCGTGCGCAGGTGGGGAAGCGGCATGCGAAAGAGCGCCACTTGGGCTCCAAGTTTGGATCGGCTGCTGCACCCCTTTATGTAGCTGACCCGTGCGTTTACATGAATGTGCAAAAACCGAAGCATAGCTCTCGTGACATGCTCTGTGCCTTCGTCAAGAATCCGGCAGCCACAGCCCAAAGGACACCCTCGGCACACATTGTCACCTCCGGGCTCAACGTTCAGAAACAAGAGTACTACTGGAACAACACTTCATGCTGTTTCTGACCATCCAGCAGGAGCCTGCATGACTGTGTGGACCATGCCGGCCATCTCGAACCACTTGAATGTAAACGCACCTTCCGCCAAAAAGGGTCTGGGCAGCTAAATCTTATTCCGGTACAGCTGGGAGAATCTCCGAGGGCCATCTGATCTCCTGGAAGGGATACACAGAGGTTGGCCTGTAATAAGAGAGAAGGAGATGACCAAGGTGATTCCTGCCTCAGTTGCAACCGAAATTCAGGCATTCAATCGTAAACCCTCAACCTAAGCGCTTCTATGCACCAGTGACAGCACAAGCTCGGCTGGGTGTCGGGCCCACACGTTGCACCAGTCGGCCATGAGCACCATGAACTTAGAGAGAAAAGGCTTAGCTTCAGGGTTGAGATGCGCGGGCGGCGATGCAAAACCCTCGTTGCCCACAGGCGAGATAGACAAAGCCACGAAGCCAAGCCTTTCGGCAACATGCTTCACATGAATCACATAAAGGATACATTTCGCAGCTTTACCCCCCTCTCAGCTGTACGTCTCGCTGGGCCTTAAACATCGCATGTTCACTCCATACCGCTGTACGTCCGGACCGGAAATCTTCATATCTATATCTATATATATATATATATATATATCAACGAACCGCACACACGAAAACACGACAACCCGAACCCCATATCCTTTTCTTAACACATGCCATCTCAAGTGCGATTATGTATCGTTTCAGACCTTTCCCGAACATGTATGTCGATCCTGCTGCGCATCCGCTCATCACAATGGATCCGGCATACGCGGCTTTGTGGGACACAGTGTTGGGCAGGCCTACTTTCTGTTCAATTTGCGTCATTGCGATACTCCGTGGTAATGATGCAACTGATGATTTCAGTGGAACAACTCCAGATCGTTGGAGCGGGAGCACCTCTTGATTGTTCTGGCAAATGTCGCATGCCTTCAGCGTGAGCCTTGAGCCCCAATGTGCGTAAGAGCCCGGCCCTCGACGGGACAGGAGTCTTCAGA